TTAACAACTCGCCAAATTGTCCTCATCTTATTACAACGTTTCGGCCGTTGTATGCTCCGGCCTTCTTCAGGCGGTTGGAATGTCGAACTGAACCCTTTATTTCGCACACTGGGATAGACTGTTCTAGTTCCACGTGCCATGTTTATTGGATGTCAGTTATCAGTTCGACATTCCAACCACCTGAAGAAGGCTGGAGTGTACAAGAGCCGAAACGTTTTAATAAATATGGCGACAAAGATGAGGACAATAGCCCGAATAATGTAAATAATGTACATAATACCTCATTTCAGAAATATAGACAGAAACTCGCCAAATGTTTAAACCTATCGAAATACTTTCCTTAAAATTTCGCCGATGCCTACATAAAAATATTTAAAAAAAAAAAAAAGAAACAGTTACATGCCGTTACCGCCCTGAACTACGGCCAGTCCCGAAGAACGGATGTCCCCTCGCGGAGGTACCGTGCCTTGAGCGGGTTTCAAAATCAATTAATGGCTCCCTGTACCGCTTCAGTAAGTACCCGACTCCTCATGCTATCCTCTACGTTTACAAGAGCCAGCTCAGGTCGAAAATGGAATACTTCAGTCATATTTGGTTGAGAGCTGCCCAGACTTCACTTTTCAGTCTTGACAGAGTTCAAAATCGTCCCTGAGTCCTTTTGGTTGAAGAATTACTTTCCACCCTCTAACATCTCTCTCTCTCTCTCTCACAAGCGGGATGTGGCGAGTCTCTCACCGCTCTATCGCTACTACAATGGAAAGTGCTCGGACGAGCTACATTCCTTATTTCCGACAGGCCTAACCTTCATGTCTAGGACCCGCCATGTCATTTACATAGTAGCAAACCACATACATTCCGTCCGTATTCCATTGTCGAGAAGGAAAAATAACGGTTAACTCTCGACTTGAACAGGTTAAGATTATAGTGATCGGAGAAAAATTCTCTAGGGAGCCTGTTCCATAGAGCAGTTGAGTGGAACAGACTCCCTAGAGGATTTTTCTCCGATCACTACAATCTTAACCTGTTCAAGTCGAGAGTTAACCGTTATTTTTCATTCTTATCCGTATAAACTACACCTTAACGTAACACTCTACCTCGAGTGGCCCCGAGCTTTGTACAGGGTGAACCTTACTGTAAAAAAAAAAAAAAAAAAAAAAAAAGAAAAGACCTTGACTCGTGCAATCACTGCTATCATTGCTATCATATATGATTAATCTAAATCTGGTATTTAATTAAGAAAGCTACAATTCTAAATGAAATGTTATATACATAGAATGTCACTTATTTATTAATGCAAGATACGCACTTTATCCTGGTCCCTAGATATTTAAGCCTAAAAGTAGCGGTGCGCATTATACACGAGAACTAACTTTTTTTTTCGATGAAGTATGTCGCCAATTTGGGTTGATATGGCCGAAAGTAAAACTCTCCTGAAAAGTAATTTAATCTGGAACTAAGATTTAAATCACGTTCGAGACATGGACATTTAAATGAGACACTTGGATAGAAATTATCAAATCGGTACGTGTTGCAGTTTTTTGTGTATAATATGTAACTAGTGAGTTACCTCAAATGACTTGACTCACTTTATAGTGCACCAATAGAAGGTTAACCAATGAGAAGACGTAGAATATTCAATCCGTCGTGTATAAAGGCGGCCATTTTGTTCACTCTACCCGAATGTCCAGTCCAGTTTGTCAGGCGAAGAGAACCAATAGGACGAACTATGCTCTGTTACCTTTTACCAAAATATCCACTGCTAACCTGAACAACGCTTTCCTACTGTCTTCGAAATATTCACTGCTAACCTCTGGATTCTATACTCGAAGACGACCGTCATCATGAATAACAGTACGGACCTGACGTGATACACCCCTAAAATCGTAACGTTTCTAAAAAGAGCCAGGATGAAACTATAAACATTTTCCCTGATGTCAGTGACAGATTAGGGTCTGAGGCATGAACGCCCCCGCTGTTACGCAGATTATCTCCTTGAGGTAGATTAACCTCAGTGCTTGAGGAAACTCCAAAGAAGAAATAAAGTCAGGACTGGGTTATTATCGGCTTCTAATCCCATGTACGCTATAATTTTCTTGTACCATATTAAGTACGAATCATCGTACGGAGATCATACAATGTCCCTTCACAACATAGGAGAGTAAGGCTTTCCTTAGATTACTTTTCTTTATTATCGTTTAATTGCCATGAAATGTTTGGAATGAGAGTGGTGTGTTTTTCCCATTGTCTTATCTTGACTGGTATTAACCAAAACTAGAGGACCCTATCTTCCTATCTTCTGCTTAACCCATAGTGGGGGGGAAAGGATTCATCTCTTTTTCAATTTGTGTGAACAGACGAGTCTGGAATTTAAACCGCCCACCGACTATATTTTCCACCCTGATCATGACTTCAGAATGTTCATATAAAAGACCGTTATTTAACCCATAGCTGAGGGTGAAGAGATGAATTCATATTCATCCCAAGGGTATTTGTATGCAAGTGAATGTAATGAAACCGACTGTATGGTTGAATCTACTGAAGCGAAAACTTTATGATTTTTAAAGTTTTACTATAATCTTTATGTTGATAAGCGTCAGCTCTTACGCAAACTAGAAAAAATAATAAAAAATTAAATACTAATGGGAAACAGATCCGAAACACGGATTTTATAAACAGTTTCTATTAATGATTTCATGTTATTTGTTCTAATGACCGTTCCCCTATTGTGCATAGACTTTATGAATTTCAGCGCAGTACTAGAGTGGCAGTAAGGTCCCCTCATTTTACACTTGACATGTAACAGTAAGTTCTATGCTAAGAGTTTCTTTTCTCGCACTTCTCGTTTGTGAAATTTTCTTCTGACGTCTTACTTTTCAGTCAACTTTGATCGTCAAAAATTTAAATGCAGTGTCAATCGTTATCTTCTGTCTTCTTAATTCTTGTTCTTTTATTGTCCTCTCTCCTTAATAGTAGTTTTTCTCATATTCTCTAACATTCATTAGCTCCTTGCGTCCTAGTGGCTTTATTGCCTTTGAGCTTCAAACATTTAAATGCAATGCTACACTCAGTAACCCCTTGCATCCTAGTGGTTTTATTGCTTTCGATCTTCAAAGATTTAAATGCAATGTCAATCGTTATCTCTTGTCTTCTTAATTCTTGTTCTTTTATTGTCCTCTCTCCCTAAAAGTAGTTTTTATCATATTATCTAACACTCATTAACCCCTTGCGTCCTAGCGGCTTTATTGTCTTGCTTGGGGTGAAATGATTTAAAAAATTGTCATTTTTTAAAAATAGATTTACATAACAAGGCCTAAAAGAATTAACAAATTGTAAAAAAAAAAAAAAAAAAAAGAACTGCCCATTCACTACGCACTTTCATATCGTTAAGAATACATAAATCATATTTGCAATGAACTAACGAATATAACATCGTTATCGATTGTAGTCGTGTAATGCTGTATGAAGTTATCAAAATTATCGTTCAAATTGCATTTAACAATAAATGTAATAAGCACACAATTGCAGGAAAATGTTACATTAAAATGCTGATTTATTGCGAAAATAAGGAATTCTGAAATCGTGGCATGTTTAACGCTAGGCTTATAAAATATGGTTATATAAAAATATCCGTGTGTATGCTTATAAGTTATATATTTTATAAAAATATTGTTATATGTCATATAAGTTATATTGGCTATAAAAATAAAAAAAAACGTTACACAGTTACATAAGCAATATATGTTACAATAACAAATATCGTATCATATGTTACAAATACAAATATTGTAATATATGCTATATAAACTATAAAAAAATAACTATAGTTATATATGTTAGATGTGTTACATATATTGAAAATATAGCTATATATATTACATAGTTATATGTTACGTAGTTATATATGTTACAAAAATAAATATCGTTATATACATTATATATAATTATATAAGTTAAATGAGCTATATAAGTTATATAGTTATATGTGTTACATTGTTATAAATGTGACACAAAATATATATTGTTATATATATTATACATGTTACATATATTGAATATATAGTTATATAGTTTACATAGTTATATATCTTACGTCGTCATATATGTTACAAAAATAAATATCGTTATATGTTATATATGTCGGAAACATTGAATATCCACTTATATATATTACATACTTGAGACGTTACATAGTTATATATAGTTACATAGTTATATATGTTACATAGTTACATATAGAAACAAAGTTATATATGTTTATATATAGCTACATAATTATACGTGTTATATATATATAGTTACAAAAGTTATATATGTTACATATAGTTACATAGTTATATATGTTATATAGTTGCATAGTTATATATGTTACATAGTTATATATGGTTACATAGTTATATATTTTACATTGTTACATACAGTTACATAGTTATATATGTTATATAGTTACATATAGTTACATATTTATATATGTTATATAGTTACATGTAGTTACATAGTTACATAGTTATATGTTATATCATTACCTATAGTTACATATTTATATATGTTACATAGTTAAATATTGCTACATAGTTTCATATATTTACATAGTTATATATTGTTACATAGTTACATACATTTAAATAGTTACATATAGTTATATTGTTATATATGTTATATAGTTACATATAGTTACATAGTTATATATGTTAGATATAGTTACATAGTTACATAATTATATATGTTTCAAAAGTAAAATATCGTTTTAAAAATCCAGAATGAATGGGAGATCAAATATCCCACACGTAAAGTCATTTATTCACTTCTGGAATTAGTCTCTTATTATCGGTGTAAGGGTGTGAGTTTTTTTGGCTTTCTCTCAACGTAGATTATTTTCTTGCGAGGATATGAGACACTCTTTATCGCCTTTTCTTCTCGGGTGTGACGCTTATAAATCTTCCTCTTATCTGTTTGTACTATGTGGCACATCCAAAAATTAGCAGGACTTACGGGTACATCACGTTTAAACACCGGTTCTCGTACGACCACTGAAGTTAAGCAACGTCGACCCTGGTCAGTACCTAGTTGGGTGACCGCTTAGTTATACCAAGTGCTGTAAGCTTGGATGCGCATGTTGTGCAATGGCTCGGAAATGTTTATCGGAGAACCGGGATCCAATTCGAGTTGGTCTAGTTATATTCACTTACGCACAAATACCATTAGGAAAGGTATGATTCCATCTCTTCTCCCCCCCAGCTATGGGTTAATTATAACCACTCCTATCCCTAAACCATTATTATCTCTTCCACAACAAAAAAATAGCTTGAATCTAATTAGTAACTCCTTATCCTAGAAATTTATACTAAACTAAAACCTTTTAATGTTGTCCATCACAATAATCATTCATTTGAAATCGCTTCTTTCTCAATATTGTCTAATGATTTAATTGAAAGAAAGCAATATCTTGTGTTCCTTATAAGCGATGCTTTATGCTGATTTTCTAAGCGTATCTTAGACGTGGCACAAGGCCGAAAGTATGGGGCATCCTGTGAGGATCAAATTCAGTAAATCAGTCGTAATTGTACTAGCGAGACAAGTCATGCATCGTGAGACTCTAAGCAAAGGAAGTTTGTGTTTCAGCTAAACAGTTTGATTTTGTGACACGTCGACCATTATTGAGCGGTCTAATGTCGAAATGTTTGTATGGTACACCTACTGAGAATCGAAATCACTAAACAGCAGTAATAGTTAACCACACTAGCTTCACTAACCATTATCCCAAAATAAGATGCCCCTGGTTTGTGATTACAACGTCCATTTAATTCTATTTTTTCACAAATCGTCTAAGGAAGACGATTTTCATTAAAATTCATCTCTGTCTTTTCTCTCAGTAATAATAATAATAATAATAATAATAATAATAATAATAATGAACTATTCTAATAATAATAATAATAATGAACTATTCTACCTTCGTTATATTAATAAATCCACAATCTCATTTTTTGGGGCGTGCTCTTGGATCTTCTTCGAGACTCGTCCTAAAGCTGGTATCCTGAACATAATTACCCCTTGGCGGTCAAGGTTAAAACGCATCTCTACCAATTTCAATGAATACGAATAATATTTCATACCGGATCGGCCGTCAACCGGGACAACAAGGGCCGCGTCCCTCAGAGAGGAACCAGTCTGAGGATGAAAAGTCTGCCACTGGAACAAACTCTTCCAAACCCGGATTATTGGCAACTTTGGACCAAGTGACTCAATACCAAATCGACTAATAAAAAGTAAACGAACGAAATGGAGCCGCGAAGAGTATCGACAAGTTACAAAAAATTACATAGATAAAGCCCTTCGTAAAGTGTGGGCTGTACTTGTCAGAACAATTTTTTGTATCTCCTTTAGGCATGGACTTCCAGGAATCCCTTTCAATTAGTCTATTGGAATCTTTTCCAACCAATCCTAGGGCTCTGACTACAACAGGGATTGTTGATCTTCCCATATGCCACATTTTCGAGATTTCTATTTCAATGTCCTTGTATTTTGACAGCTTTTTGAATATCTTCAAAGATACATTGCAGTCATCAGGGACTGCCATATCAATAAGGAGGCACCGTTTTTGTTTGTGGTCTTTAATAACAATGTCTGGGCGGTTGGCTTTGATTGTTCTGTCAGTGTGTATTGTGTAGTCCCATAGAATTGTAACAGGTCCCATCTCCGTAACCGTGGTGTTCATACCAGTTTCTTTCAGTTTCCTTCCCATTAGAAGTTGCAGATTTTCCAGTGCAGATATTGGCCCACTCTGTCATACCGGGTTTTATATTCAGTGGGTGCCAACATCGTGCAATTTGATACAAGATGATCAATCGTTTCTGGATATTTATCACAGAATCTGCATTTTGGGCTGACACAATATTTTAGTATATGTGCTTGATAATTCCTAGTTATTATTATTATTATTATTTCTTATTTTCAACTAAATTTTGTGTAAAAGGTACAAGCAAAATAAATATCCTTTCCACATGCAGGAAGCTAAATTATCGATAATTCTTACTAACTTTATCAAATTTTAGATCCAGATAGACCCCCACACAATCAACTCTTTTTTTTTTTTTTCTTTTGTCCTCGAAAAGCAAATCTAACCGTAATTTTCTACTTTCCTTCATAAATAATCAACTTGATCAAATTCTGTTGAGGAAAACCAGCAGCGCGAGGGTTAAGTTCGTCTTCCTGTATCACACACCTCGTCAATGGCGTTACTGTATTTATTTGTGTCATGTTTTCACGAGAGATTTGACAAGAGTTGGTGGGTGACAGACAACAAGTCGATCGTTAATAGCATTTTCAACATTTGCATCAGATCTTACTTGTTTTTTTTGCGTTTAATCATTTTTTTTTTAACTTCGGTTTTTTTCTCACTCTTTCCTCCTTCATTTGAAAATTCTATTTAACTCAAACTTATTTATTTATTTATTTATTTAATCATTTATTTATTTCGATTTTCTAACTTAGAAAAATCTTAATCGCTAAATTACCGCGAAGCGATTTTACATTGAATGAAAGCGAGATTTAATTTGGACCCAAAGAAATTTCTGTTAAAAATATTTTTATTGGATTTTCCCGCTTTTTCTCTATCTCTCAGTCTTTCTGTTTTATTATTTGACATTTGGGCTTACTATTAAGTCGATAACTAACGTCTTAAAAGGTTATTTTAGATACTAATGCGAATTTTATTGATTAGTTAAGGAATATAAATGATTCGATCAAAATGGTTTTTTGACTGAGGACGTTGCGTCTTTCACATCGATGCGAGCAATCAGTATTTGAACGCAGAAGATCAATATTATCGAAACCACCTTTCCAAAACTATAAAGGATGGCGCAGCATAATCTTCTTATTCTTCTCTGACCTTGAACAGTCTTCTTCCCTACATCCCAGCTCTGAGTGCTTCTCGGGATGACCATCTTCCGTGTATTAGACATAATCATCATATGAATTTCAAGACTAATAATTCCAAGCAAGGCAATAAAGCCACTAAGACACAAGTAGGGTTACTGTGTGTGATAGCATATGAGGAAAAAATATTATTAAGGAGTGAAAACAATAAAAGAACAGGATCAGTTTTTATCTCTGAGATGAGGTATTATGATTATTTGAATTATTTACATTATTCGGACTGTTATCCTCATCTTCATCGCCATATTCACAACGTTTCGGCCGTTGTACGCTCCGGCCTTTATGTCTATGTCTCTCTATATATCTGTCTATATCTCTGAGATGAGGTATTATGATTACTTGCATTATTTACATGATTTGGACTGATATCCTCATCTTCATTGCCATATTCACAAAGTTTCGACCGTTGTACGCTCCGGCCTTTATGTCTCTCTATATATCTGTCTATATCTCTGAGATGAGGTATCATGACTACTTGCATTATTTACATTATTCGGACTGTTATCCTCATCTTCATTGACATATTCACAACGTTTCGGCCGTTGTATGCTCCGGCCTTTATGTCTATGTCTCTCTATATATCTGTCTATATCTCTGAGATGAGGTATTATGATTATTTGAATTATTTACATTATTCAGACTGTTATCCTCATCTTCATTGCCATATTCACAACGTTTCGGCCGTTGTACGCTCCGGCCTTTATGTCTATGTCTCTCTATATATCTGTCTATATCTCTGAGATGAGGTATTATGATTACTTGCATTATTTACATGATTTGGACTGATATCCTCATCTTCATTACCATATTCACAACGTTTCGTCCGTTGTACGCTCCGGCCTTCTTTAGGTGATTAAAATTTCGAACCGAAGCCTTTATTTAGTCCACAGGAGTAGATTGTTCTAGTTCCACGTGTCATGCCTCTTCCGGATGTTTCAATTATTTCCCTTTAACTCAACTTTCCAGGTTTTGGTTCACTACTACTGTGGCCTGGTATTGAACTCACAACTCTTTAGTTCTAGTCACTGAAGATAACAATTGACATTGCATTTAAATGTTTGAAGATCAAAACTGACTTGAAAGCAAGAAGCAGGGAGGGAGTTCCACAAGCGAGAAGTGCGAGAGAAAAAAAACCTTTATCTAGCCATTTCAAATTTAAAATGATGAGATCTAGATGCTACTCTAGTACAGCATTTAAATTCGTAAAGTCTAGATACCAAATATGAAAGTTTGTCAGATTAATTACCATTTATAGAAAAGGCACAGGGAAGCCACATTACGGCGGTGGGAAAGTGACTGAGTTATAACAACAGACTGACATTCCAATGAGGTGTAGTGAAAATCGTCACAGAAACTGGAATTGGCTAACCGAGTTCAAATCTCAGACGAGTCGGTTACATTTACTTTCTTCTTTCCTCATCTATGGGTTAAATAGTAGACTAAACTGTACTCACTAGTTTTATGGGACAACTAGAATAAGAGAAGGGAAACTATAAATTTAATATCAGAGAGACTGTAACGAGAAACCATTATACATTGTTGGGATCATCGACATTGTAAGGGGCCATGACATTTAAGAGTGTGTTTAATGATAGGGTTATTGTGAGATGCAACAAGCCTAGGACAAAGACAACACAGCATCCCAAACTGTAAAGAAAGCAAGAAGAAACGACTTCACTATTTTACAAGTATTCACAGAGAATAATGAAAAGGAAAATGTGGAGAGTCATAATCCCCTACTTCCTGAAGGGATATGGCATTAAGGAAAACTTTCTAATAATTAGCTTGCAGAAATTAAATTAACGTGTTTCGCCCGTCTTTATGTGAGAAAGACAACTCTTATTACTGGCATGTCACAATCGATGGAAAAGGGTGCAGTTTGGTCAAGAATTGTTTATTGTACCAGGTGATCCTTTATGCAGTAGTCCCAGTCGGATGTTGTTTGGTAAGAATATGCTTGACGATAGATAATTTTCATTATCATTTACATTTCACAAAAGGGTTCCAACCATTTCTGAAATTTCTTGCGTCTTTTCGATGACAGAATTCTTCCATTCTTTTGTGCCTGGAATCAGCTCAAAGAAACGAACTCTTAAAGAGTCTTACAGTTTTGTTTGCGCTTCTTAATAAATTATAATATTTAGTCGAATAGACAGCCTTAATC